GAGAACGTACCAAAACCATTACTAGATCTCTGATCCTGACTGTTCGGAAGACAGTCCTTCCTCAAGCTTTAAATGTCATCCAATATGATAAACCCTCCTTCACCCATCTATACATGAGAGGTAATGGGATCTGAAGTGACGTCAGCCAATTTACCAATAGTCAACGTACTGGCCAAGTATACAAATCTATTATTGAAATGCAGCCTTAATTTTCAGTCATTGCTTTCATATTGTCTGATTTCTTTTCTTTTGATTTTCACCTGTTTATTTCTCTGATTTTTTTGCTATGATATCATTATTCAGTTTTTCAAACAACTTTTTTTTCTCAAGTCTATAGTTAAAGATTGGCCAAAAATTATGACTATTACATCTTTTTTTCATTCTCAATTCACAGGATCATAACGAAAATCTTTCCTGAACATCCACCAATTTTGAGGAGATATAAGGAAAACCTGAAGTGTGTATCATGAAGCCCCTAAATTGATGAGTCAGACATTTATGAACCTGAGGATAATGAGAGTATCACCATCTGCATAAAATGCCGTCAAAGATACAGTCTCAGCTCCTCATGCAAATTGTAGGTGTCAATTCTCTTGATAAAAGGGAGTATGTCGTCCGTTTCCATGTGCAGAAGACTATAATTCCATGACACCAGACTTAGTGGAAATACCATTAATGGTCGTACAAGTCTGCACACAGCGAACCTGTAAGCTAATCAAGAAATACCCCCTAGTCTCTAGGGGAGTCTTCAGGTGAGGGAAAAGTCAAAGCATTACATAAGGCCTGTAGATCATGAGACTGAAGGCTAATGATTGACAACACCTGTTATTGGGTAAGCACCCGAACGAATGGTGTCAACTCCCCTATGAGAGCCCACTCCTATGCATGTTTAAGGGAAGAAGATGTCCACATGACCAGAAAGCTGCAACTCAAATGGCAACTCAAAACGTTTATGACAACTACTGGCTGATGTAAGGTATCCTGTAAGATAAGCGTGCAATGACAAAATGTAAGTTGAACATTACTAATGTGACTTAGCATACATTGTGTGAGAAAAAAAAAATTCATGCAATATTCCAGAGGGAGAAAGAACCTTTTTTTTTAAAATCCCATATGAAATGATGGTGGTTACAATGTCCTCCACTCTTTCTCAAGGTTTACACTAATTGTACTTTGTTGAGTACCTATAGGAAGATGCTTCTGCATGTTCTGTGTTTTAGGAACAAGTGAACTGATTTAGTGTTTCTGGGGGGGTGTTTTACATAGACCCTAAGTCGAACTTAACTCTAAGTTGGACTTAATACTTATGGAAAGCCGTTAGCATCACTGAAAATATTTTGTAAAAATTATTTGAAAAGGCATAAAATGTTGATTCAAATCATTCATATTTTCTATTATCTTGGGAGATTTCATGTTCTTGATGTGGAATGTATGAAAAGTCTAAAATACTTGAATTTTGCTTTTGAATATGTTTCATTTTAAGGCTCCAATGGCTGTCCATAATTTTTAAGTCCAACTTTGTGTTAAGTTCTACTTAGGATCTTTGTGAAACACCCCCCAGTTTGTTTTGATAATATTGCCCTTAAAGGGATCTGGTAACTTTGTCTCAGATTCTGAAACAAAATCCTGGATTTAGCTCATGCTGCAATCATAATTATAAAGCTTTAGGTCAGTTAAAAACCAATGACTTTTACAAGCCGATCGCCTGTCTGATTATCAAGATATTGAAAAGGAACTTGAAGTTGTACAGTACACATGTTTTGTGTTTGTGGCATGTATATTTTGTATCAGCGACAGATGTGAAAGAAATTTTTTCTTTAAACTTTAGAAACAAACCGTGGTTAAGCAATGTATATTGTAATATGTGGACTTGAAATAGAATATGGATTTCCGATGTGGTTACCAGTTCAGAAAAAAATTGTATATTCGTCTTGAGGTAGTACAAATGTGATTCTCAAAATAATGTCCGTAGATTAGTTCTTGTTCACTTGCATGTGCATTTTTAACAAAGCATTCCAAAATAAGATGTGATACTGTAACTACAATAATTTGAATCATTGTTTTTGTTGTTTTTCTGAAGCACTTTTCTGGTATGGGTTGATTCCATTAAGTAGTGTTCCCTTTGTGATATTTTTAATTTTAACTAGGTCTTTTGGCAATTCAAGAAAACAAATTATACCAGGGTCATGAATGATCTCCTTGAATCTGATTATTGTTTTTGTAACATTAAGATATTTCTAAAATATTAGATTTCTGTTAATATTTTTGGTGAAACCGAAATTGCTTACATTTTCTTTCCACCTTAGATGAAAACTGAAAAGGCTTCTTAAAGGAGTATCTTGAATACTTTCAAACTCTTGCTTTTGTTCTGAATATTGGCAAGGAAACTTCCTCAATACAAATTTTGGACACAAATTTCAACGGATATATGATTTCCTGTTTTTAAGGCCAAGATATCGCTGTACACTTGACAGAAGGCTGCAAATGGATGCTCATGTAACAAATATTCAATTTGAGAAAAGAGCCCTCCAAATTTTGGGCTTCCTTTTCCTTTTACTTACCTTCTCAATACGTTTTAAGCCATACATCATCCAAATAGGACATTTTTGTAATGTAATCAAATTTGTATTTCAAAACGCATGCGTCTTTTTGAAGTGCCTCGTTACAAATTATTCCCTTCATATAATTGTATTTCCATGGTCAGAATGAAACTGCTTACATTACATGTTGTTAGATAGGGCAAGCCATAATGTTTGTCCTACCTTGCAACTCGCATTCCGACTATTGAAATACAATAATATATAACGGGTGAAAATTGTATATATTTGAATACATTCCAAAAATCGCTTATTGTTAACAGTAAAATCGTTCCTTGAGAAACCAAAACCTAAAGGTTTAGAAATTATACAAAACTTTGTATTCATGCCCTTTTGGAAGGCACATACTGATCTATGTCACAAATTGAACCCCAGATGAATGAATTCAAGTCATGCCTGCAATGTTAGTCCTAGTCAATTTTGGGTATGGCCCAGTATTCTACGTTTGTAATAGTTTCACTATACTACATTAATAGATAGAGAGATAGATAAGAGAGAGAGAGAGACAGACAGAGAGGGGAAAAAAAGAGAGAGAGAGAGAGAGAGAGAGAGGATGAACTTTTATAAACCACTATCATGTCCTGAATTCATGACTATTTTGTGTAGTAGAGATGCTAATAAATGCAAACTGAAGATAAAATGATATATAGTCTGTGTGTCTTGTCATATTTCACTGTGGTACATGTATTCTAAATCTCACACAAGACACTGCATAAAAAGAATGTCCCGTATACACACGGGTACGGAGTGTGCTGACACAAAGGACTGTGTTGCAACTCCCTGGATGGACAGTTAGTATTTGGGCTGTTATGAGAACCCAAATAGGGTCTGAAACTGCAACTTGCACCTGACAAAACAACAAATACATACTAAATATAATTTGAAATGAAATTTAAATTCTAAAAAGTCATTTCATTTCCAGGAAATCGACATGAATGATTTAAACTCAACATCAAGACTAAAAAAACAAATTCTTTCAAATGTTGCTGATCAACTTGTGGTCGACTCTCATAGATTTGTCAAAAACTTACAGAATTAAGGTTATCTATCATAACTACACCCAAGAAGAGCTAGTCGTATGTTGTGTTTGATATTGCAAAAGTGGGTACCTGACATAAGTAATATATACTGGTAATAAGGAGTTGACTTTTTAAGCCCCGCTGTACTACTTGTAGATACTTGCTCCCTCTGTATAGAAAACAATGTCTAAGCGGTGCCCATGTGTCCCCCATGATCCTCTTTTTCTTAAATTAATTGAGAGCTGAGTTGATGAGATAGCCACCTGTCGGTGACCTTGCTGGGTGGTGTAATCCCTCATGGCCAAACTAGTACAGACAGGCTTTAAAGGCAGGGTATTTTACCTCTGATGCACTGCATTTTTTATTGTGCCATATTTTGGTGAAGGCGTACACAGAGAGCGATTTCCGGTTCCTGTACCCAAGCATCATCACTCGCACGTCATCAGTTGCTGATGCATTGTGGGACATGGCTGTAGACGCATTGGGACATTGTTAACAGCAGATGGCAGTATACATGAATCTGAAGTGGTGTCAGTAGAATACCCTGCCTTTAATTTACAAACGGTAGAAATGAAGTGCCAAATGGGAAGTGTACTCGGCTTAAAGATTTAAAGTTCAAAACAAAGTCCAAGGCAAATGTCTCATTTAAGCCTCATTTTCATATGCCATGGTATGGTAAACTACCATTGTAAACTGCCATGGTTTTCCATGGGCTTTTTGAGCCTCTTGTGCTTCACACTTGTATGTCTTATAACACAGATGAGTACATGTATCCAGAGGACCATACTTAATTAAATGTCGCCCATATCGCCTATCGTCCCCAATTGTCCTTCATTTAGTGCGCAGAAACCAAATGGCACATGCGACCGAAATTTAAAACGTAAAGACCAGTTTTGGAAATGCCCCCCTCTCAAAAAATGAAATGGAAGGTCTGATTACCAATCGTGTGAAAGAATATGTTTTGACTAATATGTGATGATAAAAATCTTGCCGGGAAACCTCCTACTAATCGATATATTTGGAAAATTATTATATCTATCTGGACTGGATAGATATCGCGCACGTGTCGCGTAGTCCCATTTACATCTTTCTGTGTACGTACAGTACAGTGCTTGTAACTTAACCAAGACTAGGTCAAATTTCTTATTATTTTGATGATTCCAGAACCTTGCTGTACACACCAATACTTATATGCTAGATGATCAAACTTTTTTGATCCATTCCACAACGTTTCTTTTACAATGCAATCGCATGACCAGAACGGGTCTTTACCTTTAAGTAAAAGGGCAAAATATTTTTGCTATATCTATCTGTCAAAGTATATCACTGAGGTCCTAATAGTAGATCTGTAATCATCATCTTTTTGTTCTTCTTGTTATCGTAGCTTTAGGTGATGAGGGCGAGGTATCCACATCCCAGGGTGTTGAGAGGCAGAATCCAGGTGTTACCCCAGGAACCTCAGGCAAGGATGTTGATAGCAGTGGCACCGAAGAGAACTCTAGCAGAGAAGGCTCGAGCGGGCAGAGTGGGATGACTTCAGAACCGAAAGATCCTCCAATGAAACTCTATACGATGGAGTTATGTAAAGTATGCAAGAAGACGTTGTACATTGCCGATGAAGGGGATGAGGAAGGCAACCTGAGGACCCCGTTGTGCGATTCTTGCAGGATACAGGACAGTACAGGAGACGGTGATGAAGCGTTTAATTGCGACGTTTGCTCGCAACGTTTTGCCCACTTTCGGGAACTTGCAACACACATGCGGTCACACAGGACTGGTAAGTCGCACCAGTGTGATGAATGCTTGAAATGTTTCTCTGATCGCTCTGGTTTGCTTCGTCACCAGAAGATTCATTCAGGGCTGAAACCCCACCAATGCGAAATTTGCTCCAGGTGTTTCACCCTGGGTAATGCCCTCAAGGTTCACATGCGAACCCACAACAAGGACAAACCATTCAACTGTGAACACTGCGATAAAACCTTCGGACAGAGTGGACATTTGCTGTCGCACATGAAGGTCCATAGTTCTGTTACGCCTTTTGGCTGCAAGCATTGCTCTGCGTCATTCCCTAAGCTGCACCTCCTCAAAGCGCATCTCCGCAACCATGGCGACGAGAGGCCGTTCAAGTGCGATATCTGCACCAAGGCCTTCACAAGGAAATCCCACCTCAAGACGCATCTGAAGACGCACGGCACAGAGCGACCACACGAATGCGAGATCTGCTCGAAGACCTTTGCCGATCAGCGCTACCTCAATAAGCACCTGAAAGTCCACAGTGGGATCAAGCCGTATCAGTGCGAGTACTGCGACCACAGGTTCTCACAGCAGTGCTATCTGCAAACGCACCTCATGATCCACACAGGCACCAAGCCTTACGTCTGCCATCTCTGTCCCAAGAGCTTCCGGCTCCAGGAGCACCTCAAGACCCACCTCCGTGTCCACAGCGGGAGCAAGCCGTTCGAGTGCGGGGTATGCTCCAAGCGCTTCACCCGCAAGGACTCCCTTGGGATACACATGCGGATCCACACGGGGGACTACCGCTACAAATGCGAGGTCTGTTCCAAGGGATTCACCGATCCGAGCAGCTTCAGGGCTCACGTCCGGTCTCACTCCGGCATACGCCCCTACTCTTGTGAGATTTGCGGTAAGAGCTACACCCAGAACAGCTCCTTGAAGGTCCATATGCTGAGTCATACGCAGCTGCATGAGTTCATGAAAATGTCTACCGGAGCGACTTCTGCAAGGCAGCTTCCTGCCACCTTCCCCAATAGTTCAGAAGATACCCTGACAAACAGTGCAGAGGATGTTAATTGTGTTCCATTAGATTTGAGTATAAAGCGGACAAACCCACAAGAGACATTAGAGAATGAGCAAGCGGTGGGGGAAGAGCCATTAGTTGAAGAGCCAAGTATGGGGGAAGAGCCAAGGGAGGAAGAGCCATTAGTTGAAGAGCTGAGTATGGGGGAAGAGCCAAGGGGGGAAGAGTCAATGCAGGGAGGTCTATTGATGAGGGAAGAGCCATCAGAAGGAGAGCTAGAAGGGGAGGAAGAGCGATTTGGGGAACAGCCAGGGGAGTATGATTCATTAGATGAAGAGTTGTGGGTGGCGGGGAAGCCAATAAAGGAAGAGCCTTTAGAGGAGGAGCAAGAGAGGGAGGAAAATATAGGGCTGTGGGAAGAGGCATTAGTGGAAGGGCCAGAAGGGGAGGAAGAGCCATTAGTTGAAGAGCCATTAGTTGAAGAGCCATTAGAGGAAGAGCCATTAGAAGAAGAGCCAGAGGGGGAGGAAGAGCCATTAGTTGAAGAGCCAGAGGAGGAGGAATCGCCGGAGGACTCGGCAGCATGGATTCCTGTTTAGAACCAGCCTTAAACAGAAACTTAAGAGGGTGGTTGAAAATATACATGGAAAGAGCAACATTCAAGCTAGGTAATAACTTCCTTACAATTGTACAACTCACATATAAGGATATAAGGAGGATATTTAATCTGTCATTATCAAGCAAAAGTTTTACCTCGTAACATGAAACTTGCAAAGGATTTCCTGATATACAAATATGAAGATACATCATTATTAAAGGACTACCGACCAATTTGTTTACTCTTAAGTATATAAAAAGCTCTAGAACGCATTGTATATAATGGACTCTATAAATACTTTGGATAATATATACATTGTACTGGCTTTATATCAATATGATTTCAGCAAAAATCACTCCATGGAGAAGGCCCTTATTAAATTAAGATAATATTGTAACCTTTGTATCGAATGAGGACCAAGTTCTTGTTATGGACCTCAGTAAGGCCTTGGATATGCTCGATCATAAAATTCTTTGGGATGAAATAAAAATGAATGGCATCAGAGGAGTTGCTCTCAACCGGTTTCAAACTTATCTAACTTATCAACAACACTTTACTACTTTTCACAATATAAATTCTGATGTATTACCAATACAATGTGGTGTCCCTCAAGGGAGCATCCTAGGCCCCCTTTTATATTTGCTATACATCAATGAAATTTGTGAAGCCTCCTCTTTACTTAAAGAGGAAGTCCAGCATGATATTAAGTCAGGTTTTTTATAAATCTTTTATTTGCTGAAATCAGACAAGTATTATCATTCAAACTGCTTGCCCGAAACATAGTTTAACTTTCCCTTGCCACTTGAGAAGTTGTTTTGTCGAAATCTGAAAGATCACATGGAAGAATGCTCTTCACAGTATTTGTTGTTTTATTGAATTGAAAGATAATATTTTTAGTAATGATTTAGCAGAAAAATTATTGAAATTTGTGATATTACAAGTCAAAGTAGAGACATGCTTAATCATGCTTTGTAACTTATTGTGTCAGGTTTACATTCAAATTAAGTGGATTATCACAACTCTAATAGTAGGCCTAATCCGCAATGTCCTTGATAATGACAGTAATGTTGATTTGTAGTGTGAATTTGCCATTGACTATATATGTTGAGTAAACAGTTACTATCAATTGATTCATCTCAAACTCTTCTGAAGATATAATTTCTAAGAAATTATAAGTAATTCACTATACATCTCAATTTATTCAATTGCAATTACAATACTATCTTTCCTTAATTTTGATAGTTATCATAGGTTTAGAAACAAATTGTTATCAAGTAGTAACACTGAGGTGAATATGGACAAAATTTGAAGTTTCAGAATGATACAGGCTCTTTTTTTCAACTTTCATTCATGATAAACTGAAAGATGCAAAGGAAAAATCATGTAAATAAATCAAAACTTTTTTCCCAATTTGCTTTGTTTAATGTTACTACCTATGACAAATTTGGTAATTTGGTAATTGGTACATGTATATGGGTCTTGATATAAGTGGCATTGAGAAGCTCAAATTGGTTCTGTTTATGATCATGCAATTTCAAATATGTTACAGCTCATATGTTTTATATATTTGTATGGTATTTGTATTTCTTACTATTTTAACTATTTATTGATAGGTTTATATACAAACTCTTGATCACCGTTGTATTATATACATCGTGTATTGAACATTTTTTGCTTGCCATGCTCGTTTATGAGATGCAATCTTTACATGATTATTTAGGAATCTAAGATATTTTCTTATATTTCCAGTTTTAAGCTATAATCTTTATATTATTTCGTATTCGTATTTTTTTTCCTCTTTTACATATTCTTCTTTAACAACATTCTCTGTCTCTTTTTGTTTTGCATTTCCTCTGCTTTTTTTCCCTCCTTTTAACACAAACCTTGTCTATCCATTTATCTTTATTTCAGATATTGATTAGGAAATCAAGAATTTAACTTTTGTTGGTAGGAATCATGTCTCGTAAAGTATCATTTAAGTGGCCCAAATACATGTGGAGCTTAATACTTTATTGTGGGGCACGTTGTAACTATAAGTAAAAGGTGCTATAGGAAATACATTTTAAACGTATTTTTAAAAAATAATCATGTAGATTAAACAATAGTGAAGTAAAACGGATAATGTAGTTAAACCACATAAAAATGAGTAGATGCGATGGTTTAGTGGTAGAGCAGTGGTCTTATAATCGGGAGGTCCAGGGTTCAAAATGAAGTTGATGTGCTAGTGCTCTTTGGTAAGGCTTTAATCTTCATTACCAAGTCACTCAGAGAGGACTTAAAAGTGTTGGTCCCCTGGTTGCTTATTTACAAGATCACAAGACTTTTTTTTTAAATCCACGTGTCGCAATTTTAAAAGCAGTGTGTGTCACCTATTGAAGCATTTGGTCATTACAATGATACTATTTAGACTGCACATGGTTTCCATAGGCTACACAATAAGGTAATTAAATTCATTTTTGTCGATTTGTTGAAAGTCTGCGGTGGAATTTAATGTATTTTATTGCACCAATTACCAAGGTAATTAACTTCCATTTAGTTTATTTCTTAAAAGTCTGCGGTGGTGTTGAATGTATTATATTGCACCCATTACCAAAGTGTGCTGAATCCAACTTTTGAATGTTTGTATTGGCATTACAATTTTGTTTTAAAGTTGAACTTGTGGTAAATAAGAAAATGTATACAATTCAGACCAGTAAAACATTATTTTTTCTGTACTATGAAAAATTAGTAAAATAAAAGTAAAATTATGAACAGTAAAAACTCAATGAAAAGTATCAATCGAGATGTCTCGACTGATCCATTTATTTACTGTTATTTGCATATTACTGACGTTGCCAACTTGCGCTTGATCAAATACAACTGTAAAATTCACAACTTTGATAGCGAACTTCCCATTTGACAAAATCTAACACATTAGAGTTCATTTTCTCTTCCTCATTTCAATAATGTATGTACTATTTTTGTCATCATACATTAGGATGAAAGTTAGACAAAGTTAGTGATTTCTGTTAGATTAAAATGCACAACATATATGTATCTGTTGGAGATTGTGGTATGCAATAATCTTATGTCATGTAACATTAAAGATGAAATAGGATTTCACTTTACAAATTGATTATTTCTCTTGTTCTTTATTTCGTGTGATTTGTCTATGTTTTTGTCCATGTATGTACATTATCTCCACAATATATCTTACTAGGTTCTTTGTTTATTATTATCTATCTCTTTATTCCTTTATGTACTTCTATTTCTAATATGCATTTTTCGTAATGTAATCAAATGTAATGCATAGATCTGTTTAAAGTGCCATGTTACCCTATTATTTCTTTAACCCATCATGAATAATTGAATTTCAATAGTCAGAATGCGAATTGCATATATTAGCTGTTGCTAGGTAGGACAAACATCTTGGCTTGCTCTACCTAACAACACATAATATATAGTTTGCATTCTGACTATTGAAATATCATTATTCATAACGGGTGAATGAAATAATTTGTAACATGGCACTTAGCGTAACAAAGATCTGCGCATCAAATTTGATAACATCACAATAAATGCATATTGTATGAAATTGCTATCAAACAGAGCTTCATGTCAGAGTCAAGGGTATTACGTCTTACTTGTTCCAGCTCTCATCACACGATGTATATAACAAGAGGGCGAATTTTATGTTAACGTTACAGTTACAGAGGTGAAAACGAGAGAGAGAGAGAGAGAGAGAGAGAGGGGGAGGGAGAAGGAGAGTGGGGAGGGAGAAGGAGAGTGGTACGAGAGAGAGGGAGAGCCAGAAGGGCATTACCCCCATACTTTTGATAAGTTCAAAATACAGTTTGAGTATGTATTTCTAGCTCTCTTAACAGGAGGGCAAACCTTATGTTCAAGTAACGGTTGCAAAGGTGAAAGTGAGAGAGAGTGCGGTGACAAGAGAAGAGGGAACGTGAGGGAGGGAGGGACAGAAGAAGAATGAAGGTAGAGAGAAGGGTAATGCCTCTACCATAGTACAAACCAATATAATACAGGGAGAGAAGAGGGTAGAAGAATAAACATCAATAGGAAGAGCAAAAAAGCTTGGCATATTTAGCAAGTTAGGAAATAAGTCGACGGTAATTTGCTCTTTAGCTATAGTGGGGGTTAATGCATCAATTTCAAATGCTTTACACTTAATACAAAGATTTGTTTACATGAAAAAGGGGGGATATGCGGGTTTTTTTTTTTATTTATATAAATGTAAATCGTATACTGCGTTGATTAGTACAATCGCAGAAGTAGTCTAGCGCCATCTCTTGGCAGAAACTTAAACGACACAACAAAAGTAGAATAACTTCTTCTATTCTCATTTTATTACACTGTGCATAGATATTCATAAAAACCACAAGAAACAAACTTAGATATTATTAAACAACTTAATCATTCCTTCATAAGTTGGTATGCTAAATTTACATCTAAAATTATGTTGCAGGTGCATGTGGCAGATAAAGTAGAAATATCATTGTTATTTTGGTGTAAGTCCTTGCCTATGTGATGGACTGATTTACAGAGTGTTTTTTTTTTAAAGCTTTCTTGCCTTTATTCAGATTTGCATGATTATACAAAATGATCAATAGGAACATAATTGTTCTCAAAGTATAAGCAAAGTACATTGTCTCATACATAATAAACACAGACATATTTTTAAAATATTTTCCATAAGTATCCAAACTAATATAGTACACATTCAATCAAGTGTACAAATTGGGAGGGAAAAATAAATAAAAGGAAAAGGTGACGGTAATACTTCATTTTAATATTTTCGTATACAACATTATCAAAGGGGAACACTTTTTACAGCATAAGCATATATTCTGTGCAAATTAATTAGTTCAATAGAAATTAAGCAATCTGAATAAAGATTTTCTTATATAAACAAAAAAGTATAAGCGGAAGGTGCTGCTCCATAACCCATAATAAACCAATCGTTATATTTACAAAGAATGACACGGTGCATTTTTGTTAACTAGTAGATTTTTTTCATTGTATGAGGTCTTTTATCAGTGCAGGTCTGTAACTATACTTTTGTAATCAATTAAAACAAAACATTTAAAAGACTAGCAAACAACGATAAAAGATAAGTGTCAGAATCGATGTGAGCAGGAATTTTTATTTCAAAAAATATATATATAATCAGCCCCACTACCTCAAAAATACTATGTCCCTTTTGCACTGGCCAACATCAAATTCTGTAGAACTTTGAAGGAATTATGAATATATCTGTGAAATTTAAACATGAGCAGTGCCATTGTATTCAAATTATGCAAGGAAACCCGTTTACCTTCTAGACTGCACTGTCAGACACTATTGAGTGACTGACTGACATCTTTTTTCCTTTGGTAATAACATACCTAAAATGAGCTATAACAGCTACATGAGCATTTGTCTACATCAATAACCCACCACTTGTAATAGCCAAAGTTAAACTGATTGAATCTTTGTGCAGCACAAAACGTACGACCATTCGGAAAAACGTTCTAAAAATCACACTGATTGCAATCAGTTAAGTCGATTCGACATCTAATGGTCGTTTTTTCCCACTAAAAGCCATTTTCAAACCTTTTCGTTTTGAGGGAAGTTTTAAATCAGTATTGTCTTTCAAATGCCGTTGGATTTCCATTTTTTTGCAAATGGGACATAGTACATTTAACGAGTAAGACTTTCCAATCTTTGTATAATGTATTGGCAATTTGTCCTTTATTTTTGCTTTTTCATATAGTTCCGGCTTTACATATTCCTTTGCTAGTTGGAAACTTTCCATTTTTACAATTACTGGAAATCATGTATTTGATCAAAATCAAGACATGATTTAACAATTATCATCTTTCATATTTTCTCTGAAACTAAGTAACACATCAATCCGTTGCATGTTAAGAAACTGAAACATTTTTTTTTATTTGTTTTTCATCTCAATCCATATACTTGACACTTAAGCACATTTAAAGAAGATATGATAATATGTTTCTACATCTTTTCTGCAAAAGGAACATAAATGTGACTGTATTCATCCAAAATGATTCAGTTTATCATTACAAAATACGATGTTATGTAAAATTTTGAAAAAAATACTGAATTCCCTTAACTTCCAATCTAGAGTGGAAATCCTCGGGATTGAGAAACATGTTGTAATTGCCGACTTATTTAGATTTAAAGCTTTTACCCCTGGATGTTTAAAAGCAAAGGATTGTAGCAACACAAATGTTATAGTGTTGATCAACGTATAAGTGGAGTAGCGCCATCTGTAGACAGAAAGCAGTAATAACAATATTTCAATGTGTGGTTTGTTTCCCCTTTTCTAGTGAGTGACCTTTTTGGTCTTCTTCTTCCATTCTTCCTTTCCCCCTTTTTCTTATCACATCGGCGAAATAAGGGTCTGAAATAATGTAATCTTTATAATTTATAACGACACATCTTCAGTTTATGAATACCGTGATCCGTGCGATGACTGAATTGATAGTGATGATGACTGCTTTACTCTAATTGGCTAAAAGTTTCAGGTGTCGGTTCGTCTCCTCCACTTCGCTGGTTTATTATGATTTTGTTTTCGGGGATGTCGGTAGAAATCTAAACTCTGTACGAAAGACCACCGCTGACGGCTGAAACACTGAAGTGTCTGAATCACCTGAAGAAAAAATAATATTGTGCATTGGCAGAATGTATATACATTTTTTTTACCTGACATTATTATGTAAACGATTAAAGGGGTAGCCCGCCCTGATATTCCGTTGGTTTATTAGAAGAAAAACTTCTTTTTGTTTAAAGTATAGAGCAAATGGGAGGAGAGCTCGCAAGATACGTCACAGAGAAGCCAATTTGTGTTGGATTGATCAAAACTTCAAAAATTCATAACTTTCTTGTTTTTAATCGGATTTTACCCATACTTTCTATTAAAACCAACTACATATTCCCTTTAGAACATTTTTCAACCATACATGCATCCTAAATATAATTATACCTGTATGAGACAAAATAGTCTTCCGTCATCAATAACTAAGAAAATATAAGTTCATCAATGAATTCCTGTACAGAGCAAACTGGAGATGACCTCGCAAGATACGTCACAGTGTTGCCAATTTGTGTTTCACTGATCGCAACTTTACATCAAGAGCAAAACATGTTTTGGTGATTGATCCTCTTTAAGCGACACCCATGTGCTGGAACATTGACTCCAAATGGCATACAATTCAACCTGTTAGGGTATATGCTTGTTTAGAGGATAGATTGTAGAGAATGTAGAGGTGTTGTGGTCGAGTGGATACGTCGCCGGACTGTCGATCACAAGGTCCGCGGTTCGAGTCCCGCCGCCGCGCTAATGTTCTTTGGCAAGACATTGATCTACATTTGCCACACTCCACCCAGGTGAAGTAAATGGGTACCTGGTAGGAAATGATTCCTTGAAATGCTAGAGCGCCGTATGGCAGCCGCGCTAAAGCCAGGGTAATAATCGGGAGCGCCAGGAGGGTCAAATCTGACTGACATGAGCGCTATACAAGAACCCACTATTATTATTATTATTATTATTATTATGTTTAACAACAATAATAACATGTTTGTTTACCCAGGGTAGCCTTATCAGCATTATTACTGTTCTGCCTGAGGGCCCTGCAATCTATCACTACTCCGACTTTTAATTAGCCGATCTACAATGAAAATGCGCTCAAGCATTCAAGGATTTCTTCCTACCAG